GAAAATTATAAACTTTTTGATCAATAAGTTGGTTAATTTTTTTAATTTTTATATTAATCGATTTTTTATTATGTTTTAATTGAATTTCTCAATAAGAATAAATAATTCATTTGATCAAATGTTAGCTGGCTAGAATTTTTTACCATATTTATTTTTGGATACAAAATTCTGATTGGCCAATTTAAATTTCACGCACAACGTTTATATAGTAAAATAATAAAAAACCCCGATTTTTAGTGAATTTATACAAAGTATGATATTTGTCTACTAAAATTATTAAAAAATTTATTCAAGTTCTTAGCCGGCTTAGTCGGCTAAGGTTTTTCTACCGGCTAACATCACTACAATAATATCCACCAATACTGAGTGATTTAAAATTCAAATTAGCCAATCCAAAATTCTATTTCACGCGATTTTTAAATTAATATTAATATTTCGGGTATTTTTATATAAAATTCAAGATCCATACTTTTTGGCTATCATTAGATGCGTGCAGATATGACATAATTATTGGTTTGAAGTTGCGCAAATTTAATATAAATATTTAAATTAAACAAAAAAGTACATGGTTTATAGCTAAAGTCCTTATGCAAATTCAACTAGTGATAATTAGTAATTCGTGTTCCATTTTTTTATGTCGAATAACTAGGAATCAATGGAACTAAGGTTTTCAGTCCAAACTATTTTTGAAAAAAAGGTAGTTTTGATAATAGTTTGGGCTTCTCGATATTTTTTATAAGAATGGACATGAAAAAACGATATAAATCAAACCTATTTTAATTCGCCCAATTTCAGCTATATGTTAATAAAAAATAGTTGGGCTTATAAAAAATTATTTTTTGTCCAAAGTGTTTTGGCAATTTCGACTACTAAAAGAGGTAGTTTCAACCAGAAACTTTAAATGGAGCCCATACTTTGTCTTCACTTTCTAATCGGGATCCATTAGGGGTTTTTAACCATAGTGATAATATGTATTATGTACTTCCATTGCATTAATTAATATGAATCATCACAGTTTGATTTTGTTGAATGAACAATTTATTATTGATGTTATTTATTTATAATTAAATGTGCCTGATTACAACAAGGACCTATTGCTTATAATAACGAACCTTATTGTTTTCATAATCTTAATAGTACTTGCAATTAATAATTTCAATATTAGAAATAACAATATTAAAGTTCATTTATTAGAGAATAAGATTAAATTTTCAATTTAAATTAGAGTAATATTTATATATTTTTTTTTTTTTTCATAAATTAGTTTTATAACAAAATATAATTTTTTTTCACGTCACGACTACATTATAGTTCGAAAAATTTTATAATTAAAAAACACATTTTGTCAAATTCATTCATTGTTCAAAAAGGAAATTATAAAGATATAAAAATGAACCTATATGGAGGCTTTACAATAGAAACGCGTGAAACAATCACCGCCCTCTTATGTGTAACTCTTTAGTTGGACCATTTTTGGCTCAGAAGCCACCCAACTTCTTCTGGAAGTCTTTTATCATTCTAACTACAGTAGTTCTAGCAACTTCAAGTGCTTTAGAAATACGTGGAATTGTGAATCCGCCTAATGATTTGATTCTTTTACGGGTGGTAAATCAATAGTAATAGTAAACCATTTCTTCGAAATATTCAGCAACACACCATTTTTTTTATTTATTAAATAAAGGCTACAGACTTTAACTTTCCGTTGCCACAAGTGAATGTTAGTATTAATTCCAATTAATTTTCTGCGAACATAAATATTGTTGAACCTAAATTATTGTCTTCAATGATTTATTAACAGCATTTTCCAATTTCCAGATTATTTGATGATGTATTTTATCATCATCTAGTTTATTCACAATGTGTTGTTTCTAGTTTCTTTTTTATTTTTATTTTTTTTGCATTCCAATTTGCTTGATATAATTCAAATTTGATACTAAAAATAATGCTGAAATTCCATATCAACAACAATAAGAATATTTATTCTTTTATAAATCTTTTACACGATAGGTAATAATAAAGAGAGTGATAATCTTGTCTTGATTACAAATAACAAAAAAATCCTGCTAATGATGAGTAATAAAAAATTTTAATTTTTTAATTTTTTCTACATAATTTTTATTGCAAAAAAAAAAAAAAATACAAAGAAATAACAAAAATTATTCAGTGTCATAACTCTCATCACCATTGTCATTTACCACTGTTTCATTCTCATTATTATCATCATCATTTCAATATTGTACAAATTTTTTACTGCATCCATATAACCTTTATTGTTGCTGACAACTTCGTTCATTGTATGTGTCAGTTTTGTTGCCCTTGATGTGCTTGATTATTCCTGTGGGTCATGGTCTGCACTTATTCTTTTTTATCTGACTCCCTGATGTGATTTGTGGTCTTTCTCTTGCTGTTGGAACTCCTCAAAATCCAGATGTTTGGATTTTAATGCTTTGCTTGAGAATTTCTTATCATCGTTGTTGTTGGTATTTTCAACCCTCGGGTAAGTCCACTAGATTTTGCTTTATCAATTATTCAAATAATTATATAGGCAGGCTTGGTAGAAGTAAGTGTTAAAGTCAAGATCTATTTGCAAATCAAGTTTCCAAAATGGATGTTTATTATTATAAGTGGGTTTGATCAAAGTAAGTCCTAAGTCGAGATCTATGAAGCTGTTTGTAAAATATATTTAATTAATGTTTTATTATTATCAATTATTCAATAACTATATAGGCAGGTTTGATTGGTCAAGATCTATATAATTAGATTGTTAATAATTAATAATGGAATTTTATTACATGCAAAAAAAATTTTTTGAGTTGTAAATTTTGTTTATTAAATAAATTTGTTTGATTTTTTCATACATTGTTCATGTTTCCTCTTGATCGTATATCTTAAATTGGTCATGTTTACAATCATTTTGAAATTTGTTATATTAAGGTTATTTTGATTATATCGAGAGATATGGTCAAGAGAAGAGTTAGGAAGAGAGTTATTCTTCAACCAAGTCGAAAACCAACCTTTTAAATACATTTTCAAGTAGTACAGTTTAATTTATTGGACTATTTCAAATGATTGCTTCCAACTTCTTAAATTCGAACCATTTGTTAATGAAACAACTGTTTGATTTTTTTCATACATCGTTCATGTTCTCTTGATCGTATATCATAAAGTGGTCACGTTTACAATCATTTCATTGACATTCATTATATTAAGGTTATTTTGATTATATCGAAAGATATGGTCAAGAGAAGAGTTAGGAAGAGAGTTATTCTTCAACCAAGTCAAAAACCAACCCTTTAAATACATTTTCAAGTAGTATGATTTAATTTATTAGACTATTTCAAATGGTTGCTTCCAACTTCTTAAATTTGAGCCATTTGTTAATGAAACAATTGTTCATGAAGTGATTGTTGACAAACCTCATTCAACTAGTTATTAAATTATGAAATTAAATGTATGCCATCTTATAATAATCTTTATCAACACATCTTACAACTCCCTCTTTCTGAATCTTATATCGTAGACAGGGTTTGTTTGAATGTGTTTTCTAAATGTTTTATAATTTCATATTGATAAAATAATTCTTATAAGCTTTCTGATCAATATATATAATAAACGGCTAATTAAATTATATATGTTACCATCACGTGACACATCTAGCTGGGTAACGAACACTGGCTATTACTATAATAATAATAATAATAATGAACAAAAATTCTCAGGACAGAGGGTTCGGTATAAACAGAGTCAACTGAAAATGACTTCATGTCATATGCCCACATTAAATGTTTTATTTTTAAATTCATGATTTTAATTGGTCAATCAATCAACAATTGCATGGGTTAAAATTTTGTGTTACAAGAACAATAATGAACAATTATTTCATGTGGCTGAATGTAGAAGGTTGAGTTCTGTGCGCTGAAATGGCCTGAGAGGAATTTCTCTATGAAAAAATAACAAAAAAAAAGTTTGGACGGCAGTCCTATTTATGTTTCAAATTTAATAAAATAGACTATTGCCTTGGCCCGAGTGATGTCATTTTTTTGCTCTTTGTGATGAAGAAGACGTAAAACCCAACTTAATTGAATTTTTATTCTTGTGTAGAATGGTATGTGTGTTTTGTAACACAAAAAGCAAAAGGCTCACATTGCGTTCTCAGTTATAAGCTTGTTATTAATATTTATTATTATGTACAAATAAAATTTGGGCAACTTATGACCTACTTACTACAAGAAGAAGTTCAAATAAACACAAGTTTACGAAACCTTGAGATTTTTATTTGAAAATAAAATAAATGGACTTTTAATGTCAACTTATACATGAGTCGCATTGAATCTTCATTTTCACCTATTATAAATAATAATCAGAATTGCGTTTAATAATTAAATTAATTTCTTAAAACAGAAAATTGATTGCACTATTATTATTATTATTATTATTACAATTTGTATATGGAGGACTACAAAATATTTTTATTATTATGAAAGTATTGTGATAAAAC